TGGCTCTCTGTACTGATGATACAGGTCGGTGAGAATTACAACCCCACAAATAGCTGCAAGTCATCCTGCTGCAGATGTGACAGCCTGTTAACTGTGAATACTGTAAATGAAGCCATTACTCAGGCTGTTGGCCCCACAGGAAAGATGTGCCCCTGCAGAGTGTAGAACAACACTGATCAGACCCAAACCTTCAGCCCATTGATTTACATTTCCGCTGAGTGTGTGTGAGTAGAGAAACAGCTCATCCAGTGTCAGGGGGGCCTTATTGGAGCTCTGCGTCTTTTAGTCTTTTAAATAGAGCTGTGTAGGTTACAACCTTAGGGCACAGTGATGCCTTACAGCAACAAGGACCTGGGTTTGAATCCACCATCTGACCCAGCACCACCCGGGACTGGCTCCAGCCGCTTTCCTACACCCTGAATGGGATAAGTGGAAAAGAAGGGATCAATTGGAGGAATATTATTTTTTGAGTGCACCATTATTCCGGGTTACTAGTTTATTCATGTCCCACCCCCTTTTTTTGGGCGGGGGGGAGCATAATAAAAGCTTGTTGGAACGTTTGACTGCCTTTTTAAAAAGTTGCTTCAACTCTAAACAAATGAGCTTTTTTATCCATGCTTTGGTTTTTACCAGGCCCCCTTTTCCAAAGAAACTTGTCATTGCTGTGTTAGCTGATTTTGGAGAACGAAGACAAAATTGACAGTGATTTCCACGTGTGTTTAAATAAGTATCAGGAATATTTAAGTGTTTCTAAAAGGAGGATGACACAAAAGCTATATTTTTGAAGTGTATTTGGCCACAGTCTTAACAAAAATTGTACCATAATGGTTGTTTTCAAGAGAAATTTTGACACGTCACAGCAGGACCTGATAACACTGACAGTGGGTATAATAGTGATACTAATCAGGTGTGGGGAAGCTGTATTTATGAAATTCTTAATTCAGCATGAATATAAATATCTGTTGTTTATTGTTTATTATCGTTATTATCGTCCACATAACAGAATCTATTCCTAACGGCGTCGCCGACATGCTTCAGTGTATCACAATAATACATTTTAAATACAATTTTATGAAATATTTTAGAAAAAAAATGTAAATGGTTTAATGATAAAGCTTTCATCCTTCTAAAGAAGACTGTGTGTTTGCATCGATTCCTACAAGCTGAGTCCAACTTGTGTCTGCTTTTCACCATCGTTTGATTGGAACTGTAACTCAACAAAAGCTCTGAGCTCCAGCGAGTCGTGTGTAGGGATGGGTACCGGTATCCGGTGCCATCATGGCACCGGTTCTGTCATAAACGGTAGTAACCAGACCGAAAAGCAGCGCACATTTCAGTGCTTTATTTTTTT